GCAGAGACTCTTTGGATTTAACAGAACCACTAGCCACTTCTTCCCCTTTGTAGCTTTAGCAGTGCAGGCTTTGGGCAAAGCAGGAGGTGCTTAGCTCCACCCACACCTACCCTACAGGAGCTACAACCTCAGTCACACTTCTCATGTTCTTGGAGAAGTCCTCCTCTATTCCTGGAAGGAACCCTGGACTTGGACCAGTGCTGTGAACACAAGCACATGATCATCAGTGGATGGGGCTACACAGGAAAGAGATGAACAACCTTTTTGCTTGCTGGCCCCTCACTTGTGAGACATGTCCCACACCAGTGTCCTTACTGACTTCCAGCTTCTCTAGAGGACACTTTTGTCTGGCTCCTCTTTTTCTCTGAAGCATGCACACAGCAGGTCTAATACAGAGCAATCAGGTTGCATTAGTGTGTATATACAGACTGTTTGCACAGAGAGGCTGAGGTAAAGGAACTCTGATTTTAACTTGATCTAAAATGGTGTCTTGGTCAGTATTCATTTCACGTTATTACTATTGGGATGGAAAAAGGGGAATTTTAATCATTTGGGATAATGAGCATTTACCAATGGGACTGGATCCCTGAGATTAAATTCAATCATAAGACAATAGAAAAATAAGTCAAGCAGCTATTATTATCCTTTGCTCCTGTCAATGGATTGAATGTAGATTTGTTGAATTAAATAACACCAATGACTTATATTTATTTATTGATTCACAGTTTTCAAAGGATTTTAATTCTCAGTTTAGATAAAAAGAACACCAGGCTACCAGCATACTTTGATTCTTCTCTTTTAATACATTTGATTCTCTTTGAAAAAACAAGTTTGAAAATAACTGTGGTTTGGGAAACATTTTGCCTGGTTTGATTATGAAGAAATTTTTATCATCTTTGTCTAAGAACCTCTGCTAGAGTTTTCACTTCTCACTGAAAATAATCCATAGCAAGAAGGAATTTTGCCAACACAGTCTATTTCTGTTTATTTTAACCTTTAATACATTTCCAGGTCATCCTATCTGTGGCAGATGTTGCCAGCACCTGGTCTATATACCTTTGGCCCACCCCCTGGTGAGTCAAGGCTGCCTGTATCTGCATCTCTTTGACAAGGACTGAGGGAAGGTAGGATGTGCTGGGATTTTAACATCCCCTAGGACCAGCTCTCAACCAATGAATGACAGAACTTGCTGTATAAATACTCCAGCTTCCTATGGTATCACATCCTGGGTGGGTTAACTTTGGCACATACTTTACACTGTCTCAGATTCCCCAGTGGGATCAAGTTCCAGCTGCTCCCTTGTTTGATTAGGCACTGTTTATTACTTGCCTTCCCTTCCATGTTTCATTCCCCCCTCTATTCTTGCTTCCTGGGATTCCCTCCCAAATAAACTGTTTGCACTCAAACCTTGGTCTCAGGGTCTGCTTCTGAAGGAACCCAAACACAGACTTCCTCAAAGTACATTTCACTAGAAGGACACCATGGTAGCTCATCATATCCAAGCCATTAAGTCACCTAACAAGGTGTCACCTAAGAAGCTGCCTGTTAATCCTTTGTTCAAACAATTTTTGAGCTTATCACTGTCCACTGATTTCATTGCTCTCCTGGGTTGGGTCTATTCCCCTTGCCATCCTCATTCTGTTAATTATAGTATAAAATTTTTAATTAAAAATAAAAAGGATAAATTTGGTTAGTAGCTTTAAAGTTGTCTCTTTCAAGTCTACACAGCATGAAACAGACACTGAGACTGATCAAAACCAGTTCAGGTTCAGGTTCTTTGCTGAGGAATTATGAATGAGATATTTGAATGTTCAGTTTTCTCACCTATACCAAAGATATAGAAGACCTGTGATGAGATTGCAAAATTTGTAACCTGCTATGTAATTAGATATAATTTTTTGTAAGATCCCAAGCATTTGATATGTATTAAAGACCAGGAACTTCCTCTGGAAAGAAGGTATAGTAACACAGTTTCGCACAGAACTTACATTTTCTGTTCAATTCTTATATATCACCTACATTAAGATTAGTGTAGACATTGTTATCTCAAAAACATCCCTGCCAACTTGTTATCAACACTCCTCTTAAACATTTTCAGATATGGAGAACTCATTACTTTCTGGGAGAGGTAATTCCTTTTACTTATTAACCTTAATCATTAGTTCTTTCTTAAACTAAACTAAAATCTTTCTTCTGTATCTGTCACCCATTGGTGGGAATTTTCTTGGGAGAAATTACTAAATTACTTGAATGCTTCACCCCATACAGAGAATTGGAAATATTTAAAAACATATATAACGTGCCCATTAAGTTGTTTTTTTTTTCTCCCTGGTCTTTCAGCTTTCCTTAGTAAGTTGTGGTTCGGAGAACTTCTACTACCTTTGTCTATCTGTTACCCTTCCTCATAGAATGAGACACCCATTGGAAGCAACCTAGTTGTCCAATGATTGGGGATTGAAAAGTTTAAATAAATTGCAGCATGAGGAAATAATGGATAGCCATATTTTGAAGAATATTTAATGATATAAAATTGTTCATGACATTAGTGGAAGGGGCATTCTGTATATGTCACAAGAGCCCAATTTCATTAAAAATATACACATTTATGTTTATACACATACATATACAAAGTCCAAAATATGTTAAAATATTAAAAATGGTGATATGCTTTGTTCTGACTCTGTTTTATGCTTCCCCAAACTTTCCACAGAGAACATATATACTTATTTTTAATTAGAGAAATGCCTTTTGATGTATAGACAAAGCCAAAATGGGGAAGGATTGAGGAAGGGAAGTGGGGGAGGGGGCAGGGGAAAGTGGTGGTGGGAAGGTAGAGACAAATATATTTGAACAAAAAAATAAAAATTTAAAAAATAATAGAAAATAAAGAAAAGTAAAAAAATACCTTTTGGAAAGAAACATAGGAAAAAAAGGAAAAGAGAACACAACACTCATAGAACCCATAGAATTTTTTCGGGTATATTCTGATATTGCAGAGTTGAGGGGATCAGGTACCTTGCAACCTAAGTGCTTTACTTTCACATTCCAGCTTAGGGTTTTTGGCAGCTAAATCATGTCAATGAGCTTTGTACCTTCAGTTCATCAGAGCCCCAGATAATTTTTTCCTTCCTGGATTGTTACCTCTTTTACTCTGGTCATTGGCATTGGGAGAAGCCCATTGCAAAAACACCTGGGTTAGGCAGAGAGAACGGAGAAGGGATACCCAGGTCAGACTCCATGTAAGTGGCTTTGTGAGGACTGGACTGGCAGGAGCAAGGTCAGCTTTCTAGCCCAGCTGGCAGCTACCCCACCTTGAAGTCCTACAAGCTGTAAGATGGAACAACGAAAGTGGCAGAACCCTGTTTAGATGCTCTGCGAGGTGCTGGGTCCTGGAGATGATAGAAACCTTGTGCAGCTACTGCTCTGCTCAGAGAATACAGATGCCTCTGTGTGTCACCCTCTGCAGGCTATTATATCTGCCATTTCTGTGTAAGGAAAAGTCTCTGGGTATCAGAGCACTGGAGAAAATGCAACGCATGTGTTTCTCAATCTCCCCTTTGGAGAACTCTCCAGGGCCCTGAAGTTATTGGGGAGGCAGAGAAAGGCAGGGCATTAGAGGAGGTGTACAAGGCTCTATGTGGGACAGTCCCTTTAAAGAAGCAAAGGGGACAGTTAGGCAGGCAGCTCCATGTGTGCCTGCAGTGGGGGAAAAAAGACACAGGAAGGAGAAGAGAACCATTTCCTTAGATTCTGTAAGATGGACCACTGAGGCAGAATCTACAACTCACAAGTGGTTCTTTATTGTATTATCTACAGGAGTGAATTCTCATCTCTTGGAATAGAGTTTGGATTAATTTCTGTCATGTTTTTTTGGGTGCACATTGGCTGGACTGTGCAAATGATTCATTTAATTTTCTTTTTAATTATTAAAAAGATGTTCAACTCAATGTATACTCTTTGTAGATTTATAAGACCCATACAGTAAATAGAAACCCAGCTCACAGATGCTCTGTCTCCTGATGCCCAAAGCACTAAACATGTGGAAAATCTCTGTTCTCTTTTTGCAATGTAGACAAACCTTCCCGGACAAATGACCCAGAATGGTGACCCTATAACACTTCTGCTTGTTAATCATCTTTTCTCCATTGAATTATGTGTTCTTTTAAATATGATCCCTTCAACTACTAAAATAATATTTTTATACTTAGATGTGTAGCTTACAAAAGTATAGCTGAGTAATAGTTTAGAAAATTTTAAGTGAACACATCAATGCTTGAAGAGTGGACTTCCTAGGGTTAAAATAAAGTGATTGCTTATGTTTAAAGGGGTTGTAGGTTTCATCAGTGAAGCAGAATAACTTACTGGGTCAAAATCAGAGCATGTGGCTCTAGTTCCAAAGCATTTACCATGACTTTCTGTTAATATTTCTTACTTGTCAAGGGAAACTAAATGCTCTACATAGTATTGTGGGGAACAGTAAATGTACAGTGCTCATAAGCACAGATAAAGTGAAAAAGATGATGTTCTTGCTTTCATACAGCCATGGTCGCAATGTGAGTTGCTATACTTTTTGGCATTTTGCCATCAGTTTTATCCAGCAAAACCCCAAATAGCTCATTTCCACCTTTCAATTCAATATTCTCAGCGAGAGTTGATTTTAAGCCTTGCCAAGGCCCTCTCTTATTTGCCCCTCTCTGTATCTTTTTTCTTGGCAGTCTGTTCTTTTAGACCTCAAGTTTCATTCTTTTCTTCTCTGAAAGCTATCAGCTTATTCTGCTGCCAGACCCCATGCTTTGTCTGTTTGTCTTTGTCCTGAGCTGTGGATCCAACAAGGTGGGCAGTTTTAGTGTGCCTGAGTATGCATGCATGCATGTGCTCCCACATGTGTGTTCTATGTGCATGCATGTGTGTGCATGTGCACACATTATGTTCCAAATAACAAGGGACACCAGCACATTTAAAGTGCACATGTTTCCCCACACAGGTCAGCTTTTACTTACATAGTTCGAGGCCAGGTCCGGGTGGAGATAGTCAATTCCTGTGAAAAAATGACAATAGCACAGGAATGAAATGTTAATATCTGCCACTGTCCTCAGGTAAGCTACTCTAGAAAGATCACTTTTTTAATGTACTGCCACTAGGACACACTGTGTCTGAGGTCCCATGCTTGTGTTTTGCTTCCTGAGTGAGGGTTGGTGGGATGCACTGCCCAAGAGGAGAGAAAGCTGCCACCAGACACATCAGAGGAGTGAAGCCAATTAGAGCTCAGAGTCTCAGGATAACACTTCTGCCATAAATGTCAGCACAAAGGGGTTTAGTGTGTATAAGATAGATAGCTCATCAAGCTGATGATCTAAAGGGGGTTTGTGGAAATCCTGACATTTCTAAAGCATCAACTGGCATTTCTTCTGAAATGAAACTGGCCCAGGGGAGGGAGAGCAATTATTATTTAACAGGGCCTGGACAGCAGTTGATTAGGAGAGAGTTCTCTGGCATAGACATAATAAGAGTAACATGGCTGGGTAAGGAAAACAATTAGGCAAAGGGCAAATTGTTGCCCATGAGGTGTCTCAGGTGGGAGCCGATGCTTGTCTTTTCAGAATGTGGCTTTTCAGGAAGCCCAAGACCTCCAGCCTCCCAGCGTGGGTCCTGTGCTTTTTTCCTGGATGCCGACTACCTTGTTACTCAATAGTCATTTCCATGGTAAAATTATGGTCCTTGAGCTGCTGGCTTCCTTCAGACATGTGGGCCTCAGAAAGCACTCTGGTACTTCAAGGGCAAATTCAAAAGTTCCCCTCCAGGTCTAAGAGCCATATGATCATTGCAGTAGTTACACCTGAGCATCCAGCCCTCCAAGAAGCTGTCCAGGTTCCTGTACTACCTAGCATAATGGTTATGAGTATAGGGTTTGGAATCCAAGATTTGAGTTTGAATTCCAGCCATGCTGCCAACTGGCTGTAGGATTTCAGGCAAAGTGATTGGCCTCTCTGTGCTTGTTTTCTTCTTGACCTTCTGGAGATGAGAACAGTGTGGTGTGCTTGTCCCAGTGGTATTTAACAATTTCATTGGGTTGCAATTATTTAAAAGTCAGAGTATGATTAAGTCTCTCATAACTATCATCTTCATTGCATGAATACTAAGTCCAAGTCATAGTTACAGCTTTGTTCTGCAAAAAAGAACTTGTGTCAGGATGTATACAGTTGACCCTTGAACAATGCAGGGTTAGAGCAGCCACCTTCTAGGGCAATTGAAAATCGGCATATAACTTAAATTGGCCCTCCACATGTGCAGATTCCCAACCACCAGATGACCCTTGAAAAACATGGCTTTGAACTGTGCTGAGCAATAGAAAAACTTGTGTATAAGTGGACCCATGCTACCCAAAACAACATTCTTCAAGGGTCAACTGTACTTCTAAACAATTGTTTTCTTTATTTTTTTTTCTGGTTGCACAAGTAATTTCTGCAAACTACTTTCTGGATTGGGAGTCACTGTTCTACAGAACATGGTTTATCTCACTGTTGATATTTTGACATCCAAAGCCATTGCTGTTATCAGCTGATTTCTATAGCTTGGGAGAGTATAGCCTGATCACTTCCTGCCCTCTATTCTCCTTCTCTTCCTCCCACTCCTCTCTGAAGGACTGTTAAAGGACAGGGGTCAGAATATTTAGAGACTTAACATTTTAAAAGTTTGCAGACATGTGTTCTGGACCCTAAGTCAGAGATGGTTAGGTTAGGCTGTGGGTAAAGTTGGGGATGAACACAGACTATGGGATCAACAGATCCAGTTTCATTTCAGGCTCAGACATTGTAATATTTGTATGGCTTTGGCCAAATGACATAATCTCTCTTAGCTTTGGTTTTTTCATCTTTGTAATGGAGATATTATTTACCTTGGGAAGCAATTTTCAAAATTAGAATCAATTCATTGAAAGTGTTTAGCTTGTAGTAAGCAAACACTTTGATAATTTATATTTCTATTATCATTAGTATTATTATCTACCACATCACTAGAGTTATGTGGATAATTCTGAAGAGCTTACATTTAAAAAAATCTGCTTGGTTTTAGGATGTTGTGTTGGAATTATATTATTGTATATATTTGCACACATTGGTTAAATTTTGTGAATTCGTTATTAGGCAATAAATTTTGTAACATACAGGTGAGGTAAAAAAAAATGATATACACAGACACACGGCACACACAGAGAATAATTTTTTTCCAAGAGAGAGTCGATTTTTTTTCTTTTCCATTGTGCAACCCACCTCAGTGCCTGCAGCCTATGGGCAGAGGCCAGGCAATGGCTTAAGGCCACAGTTTGCTCTGACATGGGGAAATATGAGAGACCCACGGGGATAGACCTACCATAAATTCAAACCCATTCATGAGGAGTCAAGTTTTACAACATAGCTTCATGTTCTGATCGTGTAAGTTGTTTTGGAGAGGAATTTACCAAGAAATAGTCTCTTTTCTATGAAGGGAAAATATTGAAACAAAGAGATAGTTTGAGATAAAAAAGAAATTACAATTAAAACAAGATAAATTTAACCTAATTAAGCACCTTTAATTAGGTTAAGGGGAAGACTAAGTGTTAAATTAGAACAGAGACAGACTTTGGTCTGAGAAGGAAAAGATTATTTATAGAATTGTGAAGGATGACCAGCATGATTCAAAAAATAATGTAAACCATTTCCCTGCACACCAAAAAGAAAAAGAATAATAAAGTAAAGCAAGAATATGAGAACCTGGTAATTAAATAGTATTTTATTAGTTTTGCATTTTTGATTACCTTTTGAGGGGGAATACACTAAGCGTATAATCTTTTAGTAATGCATTCATTTTTATTTTTCATGTATGTTTATTTTCAGCAATGAATGACAGGCACTATGTGGGCCCTGGAATAACAGTTTGGACACTGAACCTGAGCTGTACAACTATTTATGGCTCACAATCTGCTGGGGACACCTACTCATCACCAGCTAATCACAATCAATGTGGTGCACAAATTAAACATAATTGGTTATGCTTTTGTTCATAAACCATTAGTATCTTGCAACTAATTTGAAATCTAATTCACAATAGTCCAAATTTCCAAGAAGCTCTGATGTTTCTAGAGACCTCAGGAAAGTAGCAAGGAGCTCCATGTACATGTTCTTAATTAGAATGTTAATAGTTCAGTTGAGATGTATTACATCTCAGGATCCTGGTCCTAAGCCTAGCTCCTTCCATTGTTTTAAGAAAGTTAGCCCCTGGCACCATCCCTGCTGACTTATATATTACTGAGGAGCAAACCTCAGTGGATGAATTGTATCTTTCAAATGTGGTGGTTCAATATCTCCAATCCTATATTGTATTCTATGATATGGCAATATCATTCCCCACACACCCCAATTAGAGGTAAGTCTAACTTTTCTCTTTGGTCTCAGTGGACTGTGATTGCTTCTATAAATAGGATATAGTTGAATGCCATTACATGGCTTCCAAGGCTAGGTCAGAAAAGGCCAAACATCTTCTACCTGTTTCCTTTGGACCCTTTCTTACTCTTCAGAGAGCAAGCCACCATGTAAGAAGGCCATGTGCAGTCACTCTGTTTGACAGCTGAGCTCCAGCAGCAGCCAGCAACAACTACCAGCCTGAGAGTAAGCCATCCTCGATGATCAGTCAAGCCTTCAGATAACCATAGCCCAGCCAATATCTGACCTCAGCTGAGTGAGAGTCCTCAAGTGAGAACTGCCAAGACAGGCTCTTCCTGTGACACAGAAATTATGAGCAAAATATTAGTTACTTTAAGCTATTGAGTTTTGGAGTCATTTGTTACATGGCAATAAGAACTAGAATAGACATCCTGCTGGACCTTCTGAGGACTGTGAAGTCCAAGTTAGGAGAGAAAATGTGGTGGGAGACTTCAAGATGGTGGAGGAGTGAATGGAAGTCACACTGAACTCCTTCCAGGAACAATCTGGAATTACAACTAAATTGTGGAGAAATCACCTGGAACAAACAACTGAATGATAGTGAGAGAGGAGCCTTATAACCTCAGAAGGACAGAAGAATCAGCTTTAGCACAATGTAACTGGTAAGCAGTACAGTAGAGACTCAAGAAGGTGGGTGGGGCACCCACGGGTAGCAGCACCAGGAGGATATTGAAATGGCCAGTTGGATCCCCCTGAGATAAGTGAGGTCTAAACCATAAGTGGAGATCTCCAGCCTACAGCACCAGAGACCTCAAAATACACAGGTAACAACCAGCTGCAAAAAACAGCAAGCTTGCTCTTTGCCAGAGACAGGTGGCTGGAGACCCAAAGAGCCTTTTAATGGACCAACGAATACACTTTTATTTGCAGCCACTTACCCTGGTATCTGGCAAAGATGAGGGCAGAGTGGGCTAGAGATACCTGAGGTGAGACTGAGGAAGGAGGCTTTGGGGAGAGAACTGAGAGAGTAGCTGGAGGGATCCCAGTGCTGACTAGTTCCCCATATGGCAGCAACCATCTGGCTCAGTCAGTCCACTTCCCTGAGTGGCAGCAGCATGAGAGAACACAATAACCCTGCCCCCAGGAAGGACTCTGCCCCACTCAGTGGTGCCTAAACCTGATTGCTAAGTGCAGAGTGACTACCTTAATGGCTGAAGGAGACAGCCACAGACAGTAGATTCCTGCAAATCTTGAATAGACTGCCTGGGGTCAGACACGGTCAACATCTGACATCATTAGAAGCAGATCCAGAAAGAAAAATAGCAGTCTCCTACCATAGAAGTTCACACCACAAAGTCAGGAAATCAAGACAGATCAATTTAAGAAGCAGAAGCAAAAAAGAAGAGTCTCACAAATAATTGGAAGACGAAGAAACACCCCTCAGTCGAAGAGAACGGAACAATCCCCAGAAACAAAACTAAAAGAACTAGAGGCAAGCAAACTATCAGATATTGAGTTCCAAACAAAGGTTCTACGGAAGCTCAATGAGCTCAGAGAGAATTAAAAAAAATACAGGGAAACTATGAGGAACTTACTGCAAATTATATCAGCATGAAAAAATACATAGAAATTATCAATAAGGGGCAAGAGGAAATTAAGACTACAATTTCTGAATTGAAGAACACAGCAGAAGGAATCAAAAGCAGGCTACATGAAGCAGAGGATCAAATCAGCGAGCTGGAGGACAAGGTGGAAAAAAGCTCCCAGAAAGAGCAAGAAAATGAAAAAAGGACTCAAAAGGAATGAAGAGGCATTGAGGGAAATGCAGGCTAACCTGAAACATATTCATATCCATATAATAGGGATACCAGAAGGATAAGAGGATGAGGAAGGGATAGAGAACTTGTTTGAAAAAATAATGATGGAAAAGTTCCCTAATTGGAGGAGAGGAAAAGTCACACAAGTTCAGGAAGCACAGAGGGTCCCATTCAGGAGGAACCAACTGAGACCCACTCCAAGACACATCATCATTAAAATGGCAAATATCAAAGACAAACAGAGAATCCTAAAGGCAGCAAGGGAGAAACAGGTAGTAATATACAAGGAAGCCCCGATATGGCTAGCAGCTGGCTTCTCAACAGAAACACTACAAGCCAGAAGAGAATGGCAAGAAATATTCCAAGTAATGAAAAACAAAGGCCTGCAACCAACACTGCTCTACCCAGCAAGGTTCTCGATTAAAGTGAAAGGTGAAATAAAGAGTTTCCCAGACACGAAAGGGTAAAAGAATACACCTCCACCAAACCAGCATTGCAAAATATGCTAAAGGGACTGCTTTAAGAAGATGAGGAAAAAGAGTCTATGAATACTCAGTTCCTTTCAGTCACCAATACTTGATATTACCAATATTTTAAATATTTATTAATCTGATTGTGACAATGATGTGTTATTTTAATTGTTACTTTATTATTTGTTGAAATTAAACCTGTTTCTGTATATTTCTTGCCTATTTCTATTATTTTTGAAAAGCTTTAAATGACTTTTTGGAATTCTTTATCCATTTTTTGATTAAATGTTTGTAGAATTTTTTTTCCCTAAAAAAACCTATTAAACCTTTTTTAGATGTGTTGCAAGTACTTTCCTATTCTATTACTTGTCCTTTAACTTTTTTTATATGTATATTACTGTATAGTCTTAAATGTTTAATTAGTCATATTGTCAATGTTTTACTTTATAGTTTCTGAGTATGAATATTTTACTTTAGGGTAAGAAAAATATTATTTTGTACTTTCTCCTAAAACTCCTTAGATTTTACATATTGATTTTTATCTCACCTGAATATTTATTGTATAATGTGTGAATTAAGGCTCTATATTTGTTTTATTTCAAGTAATAGTGGTCTATGCACCTTATTTGTTGAATAAGCCTTATTTTCTCCATTGATTTTATATATCAATTTAATCATATATTACATTGTTAGATATATATGTTTGTTTCTAGAATACTTATTTTATCTCATTGATCTACTTGATTATTTCTGTGCTAGTGTCATGTTGTTGTAATTGCTGAGAATTTATAATGGATTTAATTTTTTAATATTTTGTAATGGATTTTGACATTAAAATAAAGAGAACCTATTTGAAGAAATAATTACTGAAAACTACTCAGCTATAATAAAGAGGAAAATTTTGCACTTTGCCACAGTGTGGATGGACCTGGAGAACATTAGACTAAATGAAATAAGCCAGTCAGCCAATCAGAAAAAGACAAATACCATATGATTAACTCATATGTGGAATCTAATGAACCAACTGAACTAGCAAGCAAAATTCAGAGAGAGAGTCATAGGTAGATAGCAGGCTGACAGCTCTAGGGGGAAGGTTATGGGGTGCAGGGGTTGAGTATAAAGGAAAGAGGACCCATGGACTTGAACAACAGTGTAATAATTGCTGGGTTGGGGACAGGGATATCAGGGGGATAAATGGTAATGAAAAAAATACAATAAAAATTTTGATTAAGAAAAAAAGAGAAAATGTTGCTTGTCTATGTGATGCAGAGTTCCATATCTCTCAACAGGGTGTGGGTGAATGTTATCCTTAAGCTTGGACCTCCACTTACTCGGATGAGATCCCATTGACAAAGTCCCACCAGGGAGGTGGGGAGTCAAGGAGTGGGTTTCAAGCACTGAGGATGGTGGTTAGGGTTAGTTGTGAGACTCCTGACAGTTTCCTGCCTTCCTAATCTTCAGTTTCTTCATCTGCAAAATGTGGATAATAATAATATTAACCTTAGAGAATAAAAGTGGCTGTGTTTCCAAAATGCTAATTAGTGCCTAGTATATAATGAGTACTCAGTGAATGTTAGTTTTAATTGTTAGTTCAGCCTGACGTGCTTCCTGACCCCATCTCACTGGCCTTCAGTCTTATTCCCTTGGTGCCAACTGATATCAGCTAAAAGTCTTAACCATATCATCCCTAACTATCTTTGGTCTTAAAAGCCAGCTGCTTGCCCAGAATCATGCCTGAGCTGGTGACTCTTGCCCACCCTGTGTCTTGTTATGGTCACATCTCACTTTCCAGGTCATATTCCCAATGCTAAACAATTTCATTACAACAAAAGGGGTAAACTGTCATCATTAAGTAGGATCTTTGCTGACAACTAAATACCTGGAATTTCAGACCCTTGAAGATTGCTTTCTGCCTCTCTCAGCAACAGTTGACCATGGAGGAACTCTCCCAGTGATGTGCAGTGTATGGAAATGGCATTAAGTTGACTTAACTGAAGTCAGCTAATATTTATGAGCATCGACCAAATCACTGGATCCAGCAGAGGGAATGACAACTGAGTTTTGATTTGGGAAACCAGAGAAAGATGAATGACTATTAATACTAGGCTATCAAAGCATAGGGAATATAATCAGTAATATAATAACATTGTATAATGGCAGATGGTTACTAGACTTATCATGGTGATTATTTTATAAGGTATGTAATTGTTGAATTTCTATGTTGTACACCTGAAAGTAATATAATATTATATGTCAATAATACTTTAAAAAATAAAATGGGCTATCCACAAATTGAATCTTCCACATGCAGATAATACAATATTTGCCAAACACGCCAAAATATGAAAAGTCAATGCTTTATAAAATATTACATTACTTTTCTCTTAGGTGTCAGGGTCAGCATCTGTGTCTGGCTTTAATCTTGTTTTGCATTGATATCTTGCTGAGAGTATATCTGGGAAATGATGCCATGATATCCACATATCCAGGCAGTTAAGAGAGAAAATACAGCTCTGATGCCCCCAGCTCACCTTCATTTCTTCCCTTCTAGATGTTGGGGCAGAGAGATGCCCAACTGAGAGACATGATGAGAGGCTGGGGAGCATCTGGACTTGTCTTTGTTGTATGGGAGTCCATGCATCCCACAAATGTGTTCATTTTGCTCTTAGCCAGTGGATATGGAGAATGGCTTGGCAGTCTTTTTCTTTTCCCCAGGTGTCACACTGAATTAAAGATTGCCACAAATCTTTTTCTCTCTCTGCACCAGGAGTCAGAAATTCCCCTGAAATTTGGCCCTGAGACTGTTGATCCAACAGATGTGGTAGAGTGATGCTTGCCTGTATCAGGCCCAGACTTTAAAAAGATTGGCAGCTTCTGCTTCTTAGAATCCCTGTTTTTGGAACCCCTGTGCCATTTATAAAAAAATACAGCTACCTTGCTGGAGAGACCATGTGGAGCAGAGAGGCCCTGAGAGTGCATGGAGTGGGAAGGAGCCTCCAGTTGAATCTATTCTCCGCCATCTGCTGACACCAACTGCACTAAAGACTCCAGAAAGGCCAGCAGCAGAATTGTCCAGCTGAGCCAGGTCAACCCACAGAAGTGTGAGAGAGAACAATATGGTGGTTGTTTAAAGCCACTTAATTTTGGGGTGGTTTTTTCTGCATTAGTAGATAACCAGAACAATGGAGAAGTTAAGAGTTTTAATTGGGAAGCAGAGAATTTGCTTTTTTTGGAATCTGAAAGGCCATTAATGAGCAGAAGAAATAACATCAAATGTATTCTGTCAAAACTTTCTGAGGGACTTGGCCTCTCATGCCAGGAAACATTGAGCAGAGTCAGGAGTCATCTTTGCTATCTTCAGAAGGGATGATGGATGCTTGGGCAAGGGGACTACAGTTAAAGAGCCACGAGGCAGGCATCACAGGGCTGTGGGAAGTTTCATAAGAGTAGTTTGACAATCTGTTGTCATTGTAATGACACTTTCAGGGTGCTTTCCTGATACCTAGCAGGGGATATACAGTAGATATGCTGTGCAAAATGGTCATTACAATATGCCCTAGGAAGGTTTCCCCCAGACATAGGTGCATCTTTCTCCTGGGTGAGCTGGCCTCTGCCATTTTGGTTTCTCCCCATTAGGAAGGAAGAGACTATTATAAGCTTCTGAGAAGGTGCACACACACTATTGTACAGAGTTCCTTTTTTTCTTGTGAAAGCCCTTGGCCACTGGAGGAAGCTTTTACATCCACTTCAAAACGTTGAACACACTAGAAAACAGTGAGGCATTGTTTTTATGTTGCTATTTAATGAGCCCCCACAAAGAGAGCAGCAGCAATTTTAATCACTCTGGCTCCCCTTGCTTTCTCATCAATTCTGCTTCAAAGGCTTGCTTTGGAGAACATAGTGTTCTTTGAGGATCTTCAGAAGGGATAATATGTTATAGGGAGTGTGCATCATAAAATGTTATCAAAGTCTGCTTTATGGGGGTCATTCTGAAAGTAACAATAAAGTCAAAAATCCTCCAAACCCCAATCCTGCTGTCTAAAAGCTATTTCATGGATCTAGAGCCACATCGTCTAATAGAAATTTCTGTGATGACAAAAATGAAGTTGGTTTGAATTTCAGCAGCTGTTAGACCCACATAGTTATTGAGAACTTGAATTGAAGCTAGGAATTGAATTTTTAATTTTATTTAGCTTTATTAATTAAAGTTTAAATGTAAAAAGCCACATTAGGCTAGTGGCTACTATATTGGACAGTGTGGATCTAGAAAAATAGATGGTACATACAAAGAGGTTTAGGAGATATTTTAAAGTAAGATTTAAGCAGTGGCTTAATAAGAATGTTGAGTGACGATCGGGTTTCATTTGTTTATTTTTTTAGTTTTTTGGATTTGTTAATGCAATACATATTTGTTGAGAGTATCCTCAAATTTGAGAACCATGGGTTTGGAGGAAGATAAGAGTTTGGCTGCAAAATAGATGGTGATCAGGCCCAGCACCTGGCTATTCTGCCTTCAAAATAATGACTCTTCTATTCTGAAGTCATGCAAAGACACACTTGCTTCCAAATGATATAAAGGGATCAAAATACTTACCATCATCCATAATTCCAATGGTAACACCTTTCCCTGTATATCCCAGCTCCCAGGCTTCTGCCACATTCAAATCAAGGCCAGGAGTGCCATCAGCTTGTCCAGTATTGATCTGGTACAAGAATTCCAAAGCAGAGAATCTTACTAATTTGGTATAGTAAAGCACATTTGTAAATGTTTGCTTGGCTTGCTCTGCAGCCATCTGATATTCCCGGGCCTGCTCAAAAGCCACATCCTCCATGAACCATACTTTTGTATATTTTCTACCCACCTCTTCTAGCCTTCTCCCTCCAATTTTTGAAATACATTATTGATGTTTTATATTTTTTATAAGTATGCACAGTTTCAATCCTCCCATATTTTATGACCAGATTATGATCTTTAAACCCCTTAGAGCTGCCATTGTAAGAAACCCTCCCCAACATAGAATTAAGTGCTAACTTATACCTCATGTTTTTAATTTAGCACATATTGTTTTGGATTATTCTTATTTAATATGATTTCCTTACTACATACAATATCATTTGCAAGAGAGAGATGTTCTCTTTATGTTTGTGATTTCAGTACTACAATACCAATCTTGCTTAAAAATATTTCTTAAACTGAATCAAAGATAGATGACTCAACTTTAGTGCATATTCTGATGATATATATATGTATATAGATGTATATAATTAGAATATATGAGTATATGTTAGCCTATTCTAATGTTATGCATTCATTATATATAATAAATCCTCCCCCTCTAAAAAAAATCCAAAGATGAAATAAAGGAAAACAAGGAAAAAATCCCAAATAAATGGCTCATTATCCTTTTTTCATGAATCTTTGTTCTGTGCAGATTTTTCTCAAAGATGAATCATAAAAAAAAGTAGTGACAACAGAGTTTTTACTGGCAAAAGCCCACAGTGACCAATTGGCTGTTATGGTATTGCTGAAACATTATGTGACTGTCATTAGTGTTCTTTATAAAAATGGCCACTCTTTCCCTGGAAGTGTTGCTCAGGTGGTTGGAGCATCATCTCATACACCAAAAGGTTGTGAGTTTGATTCCTGATTAGGGCACATACTTAGGTTGTGGATTTGATCCCCTGTGAGGGCAAGGCAACCAATCAATGTTTCACTCTCACATTGATGACGTTTCTCTCTCTCTCTCTCTAAAAAATCAATAAAAACATATCCTTGGTTGTAGACTTTTTAAAAAGGCCACTCTTTTTCTTTCAGGCATATGTTAAGTTTATACCTCTTCATTCCCTTGGAAGTGAGAATGACCATGTGACTGGTTTTGGCCAAAGGAATATGAGCTCATGTGCTGTTTATCATGTTTATGCAGAAGCTTTAAGAGGTAGTGTGCACTTTGCCCCTTCCTTTCCTTGATGTGCTCATGAAAGCAGAGATCAAGATGGAGTAGAGGTGGAGCTTGGTCAGCCTGAGCTCCTGAGGGATTATGAAACATTGGATGCATAGCATGAATGACAAATTTTGATTTCATTAAGCCACTGTGATTTGAGGGTTGCTATTGGAAGACACCTAGCCTGTCCTGAGAGATACATTCATCCTTCTGCATCTGAGGAGGATTGATACCAAAATCCATGGATGCTCAAGTCTCTCATAAAAAATGGTGTAGTATTTGTATATAACTAATGTTTTGCATATAAGTGACAGCAAGATATGCCTACAAATCACATCATTGTGTGGATTCAGTATAGTGCTCTGCATGTGACAAATTCAAGTTTTGCTTTTTGGAAATTCCTGGGATTTTTTTAGAATATTTTCAATCCCCAGTTGGTTAAATTTGTGGATGCAGAACCTGTGAATATGAGGAGCTGGCTGTACACATAAGCTTATTTAGTTACCTGGACAGGATATTTACAATTTCATTCTGAAAAGCATAAGGCATAGTCAAGTTCTGAAGCTCAACGGGGGTGTTGTGATGCATTCCTATCATGTAACAGTCCACAGGGTTATTTTCTCTCTTGCTCAACATCTTTTAATCCTAAATAAAGCTTACTCAGTTTGTAAATTAGTCACTCCTTTTCTCTCAACATGCCCTGCAATTTGGTTTGTTTGGAGTCCTTGAATAGCTTTTAAACATAACTTATCCAAATGGATGGACTCTGGATGAGCCAGAAAATATTCATTTCACCAGGCAGACTGGGTTTCCCTGTCTTGAATCTTGCATCAATTAAGCCCCATTGAACTGATTTCCTGCCATTAATTTGGGAAACACTGATAGATGCTACTTTTGTTACTTTAGTCTTCTAGGTCTCTTGCTTGTTTCCCCTGAATCTTTCCCTTATGCCTGTGGTTTCATCATGTCCTGCCATTGCTTAGACTGTTGAGACCAGATACCTCTTCCCAGACTTTTGACTTTACTTTTACATGTTTTTGCAAGTCTTCACTCATACACTGGTGCCCTTTTTCAGAGCCTGGAAGAATCTGATCTGCTGTTGGTAGTTGCTTTGACCCCAGGAGACCCTGGCTACTTAGCAGTTCAGAGGAAAGCAGATTAGAGAACAAGATGCTTGGGTGGTGACAGAAAATCAATATGTATCAGAGGGGACAGAGTGGTTCACTGAGTCGGATGCTGGCCTATGTCCCAAAGAATAATGAGGAAATAGAAATGTATCTTTTATTCCTAGTCTCAAAATGAGAAATATTAGGAATAATAGAGAGACACTTACCAGATACCACTGCTTTGTAAATAGAGGATCATTCATGTTGATGTCGATCTCATTGATATCTCTATACCCTCGCTTTTTTCGGTGGAATCCTTCTTGTTGCAAGGCCATCTTTACCTGAAATGACAATACTGACATATTACCTGAATATCAACCTAAACATCCTTCTTTTGAAATTCATTTCCATGAATTCAAGTTCCATTTATATATAAGGTGTTCTTTTTTCCTCAGCTGAAGCCAAGTGTACCTCATATACACTTATGATTATTTTTCAAGAGCATTTACTTCTTGCAGTAAGCAAACAGGCTTGGTAATGGCTCTAAGTGAATTTCCTTAGACTAAGAATTAGATAGGGAAAAGCACTCTCAAGGAAGATAGGGCAGTAGGGTCATTATGTAAAATAAAACAAAGCAAGGGAATGCTTCTCTGAAGAAAGAGAGAGTGCTATGGATTCAGGGAGGAAAAGAATTAAACCTTATAGATCCTTTTCCTGGAAGCCTTCCCAGCCTTTCTATTTGTTGACAGTACTGTGCTATCACATTTGGGAACCCACCAAAACCAAAAACAAACAAACAAAAAACCTGCGTGGAGAGCCAGTAAGTCCATAGCAAAGCTCTAGGAGGTAAGTGAGGGATCTTTGAAATTGATGGATAGTGCTGCTGTTCTTGCATTAACGCTTCATTTTTGGACAGTAAAACAGAACCCTAAGCCCTTGGATGGAAAGAAAACTTAGGAGCTGAGTTAATTCAATCAGGCTCCTGGCAACAGCTAGGCTGTGTCTCAATCAGAACATTTTCTTTCACTTGGGCAAAAACTAATTTATTACTCGATAGCTGAGGCCAGTCTCTGAAGTCTACAAACTCAAGGACTATGCAAATGTATAAAAACGGGTATGCTGAATACTTACTGCTTTTTAAAATTATATTTTGGAGAGAGGATTAAGATGGCAGAGGAGTGAAAGGGAGTCACGCTGACCTCCTCCTCCCAAGACCAAACTGGAATTGAGACTAAATAGTGGAGTAATCACCTGGAAAACAATGGAACGATAGTGGGAGAGGAGCCTTGGAGCCCAGACAGTGGATTCAACTCTCACACATCCGAATGGGTGAGAAGTGCAGTGGAGGCTCGACAGGGTGGCCTGGGTGCCCATGGGCACTAGCACTAGAGGGACATTGAAACGGCCAGTTAGCTTCCCCCGAGAAGAATGGGGTCTGAATCATAAACAGGGACCCCTAAACTACAGCAGCTAAAACCAAGAAAATACAGACAAAACAGAACCCCGAAATGCTTAGGGGCGCCCTCTGCCAGAGACAGGTGGCTGGGGATGCAAAGAGACATTTAAAGGGCCAACGCAAAAATTGGAGTGGCAGCCACCCTCCTTGATCGCTGAGTAGAGGCGGCAGCAGGGTGGGCTGGTGCCTGGGAAAAGACCGGTGAGGAAAACTTTGTGAAGAGAACTGAGACAGAGGCCGGTGGAGCCCCGGTGATAACGCACCTCCCACTCTGCAGCTACCATCTCGCTCAGGCATAAGGGAATCAATTAACCTGCCTTTTGTGCACTCTGCACACAGCTTGTTCGTGTGAGCTGCGGGGCTGTGTGCAGACTGGCTGGGAGAGCCTTGAAGAGAGACTGGAGACAGAGACGTTGGGGAAAGAATGGGATGAGGAACTGGGGAGTCCCGACTCCTTCTCCTTGCTGTAGTCTCCATTGTGCGGGAAGAGGCCACACCCCCAAAGAGCCAAAAGCCGAAAAGAACACATAGACACCCCAAAACTACCCAGTGCAGGTGCACACACTTGCTCCGAGTGGCTGGCGAGGGTTGGTGAGCGTGTGTGTGACCCGCATGGGCTGGCAAACACTTGCACCGGCCGGCAAGGCCTCCCACAGATTGGCACCGATATGGTCTGCGAGGGAGTGCACAAAGCAGTTAGAGCAGGCATAAATTGACCCGACAGGCCCGCGATTGTGGAGTGGCTCACAGAATTAGTAGATCCCGGCCGAAGGGGTCACAGAGCTGCCCAGAGTCCCTGGAGGAGAGACCAGAGACAGGTTTAACCGGAGAGTCCTGGAGCTGACTTCGTCCCATTTCCATAGTATCCATATGGCGAGGGCAAGAAATACACCCAAAGAGCCAAAAGCAGGGGAAACACACAATAGAAGACCCTAAACTGACCAGTGCCGGGGAGCTCGTCGGCCAAGGGGGCCAGACGAGTTGGCGAGGTCGCGAATCAGCCCCTGGGTCTGGGGCAAGCACGTGTGAGCCCAGGTAGGAGGGGATCCTGCTGCGCCGGCAAGTACGCTCAAAGAGTCGGCGTGAGAGTGTAGAGTGATCCCAAAAAAGAGTCCATCCCTGACCGAAGGGGTCACACGCTGCCCCAAGCGGGAGTCAGACACAGACAGTAGACTCTGGAAGGCTCAAACAAACGACCCAGCTCATACAGGGTCAACAACTGACATCATCAGAGACAGGCCCAGAAAGAAAAGTAAAGGAAAAAATAAATAAATAAATAAAAAGACCCACCTACTACCACAGAAGTTTAATCCACAAAGTCAGGAAATCTAGACATATCAATTGAAGCAGAAGCAAAAATAAATAAATAAGCAAATTACTTAACAGACTCTCACAAAAATGGGAAAAAAAATAGCTCCCCCCAAATCAATGGAAAAGCGGACTCCCCACAGAGAGAGCGAAATGAAATAGAGGTAAGGGAACTATCAGATATTGAATTCAAAACAATGGTTCTAAGGAAGCTCAATCAGCTCAGCCAGCTCAAAGAGAACTATGAGAAACTGCAGAGAAACTATCAGGATCTTACAGAAAATTATATCAACCTATGAAAAGACATAGAAACTATCAAGAAGACACAAGAGGATATGAAGAATACCATTTCTGAATTGAAGAACACAGTAGAAGGAATCCAAAGCAGGCTGCATGAAGCTGGGGATCGAATCAGTGAGATGGAGGATAAGGTAGAAAAAAGCTCCCAGAAAGAACAAGAAATGGAAAAAAGACTCCAAAAGAATGAAGAGGCATTTAGGGAAATGCAGGACAACCTGAAACGCAATAATATCCACATAATAGGGATACCAGAAGGAGAAGAAGAGGAGCAAGAGATAGAGAACCTCCTCGAAAGAGTAATGATGGAAAATTTCCTTAATTTGAGGAGAGAAAAGGTCTCATGGATCCAGGAAGGACAGAGGGCCTCATTCAAGAGGGACCCAAGGAGGCCCACTCCAAGACACATCATGATTAAAATGGTGACTATCAAAGACAAAGAGAGAATCCTCCAGGCAGCAAGGGAGAAGGAGAAAGTAACATACAAGGAGGCCCCGATAGGCCTAGGAGCTGACTTCTCAACAGAAACACTACAAGCCAGAAGGCAATGGCAACAAATATTCCAAGGGCCTACAGCCAAGGCTGCTCTACCCAGCAAAGCTCTCAATTAAAATAGAAGGGGAAATAGGGAGTTTCCCAGACAAAAGAAGGCTAAAAGAATACATATCTACCAAACCAGCACTCCAAGATATGCTAAGGGGACTGGTTTAAGCAGATGAAGGAAAAGAATGAGAGAGAGAGGAACACAGGTACAAAGAGAAAAGATGAGTAAGTTTCTATCAGTAATATCTCTCAATGTGAATGGACTAAATGCCTCAATCAAAAGACACAGGGTAGCTGAATGGATAAGAAAACATGACCCACACATATGCTGCCTACAAGAGACCCACCTCAGAGCAAAAGACCTACACAGATTGAAAGTAAAGGGATGGAGAAATATATTGCAAGCAAATGGGCAAGAGAAAAAGGCCGGGGTTGCTATACTTGTATCAGACAAAGTAGATTTCAAAACATAGGCTATAAGAAGAGACCCAGAGGGGCACTTTATAATACTTAAAGGAAGAATTTATCTAGAAGACATCAACATTGTAAACTTATATGCTCCCAATATAGGAGCCCCCAAGTTTATAAGGAAATTGTTGGATGACTTCAAAAAAGATATAGACAGCAACACACTGATAGTCGGGGATTTCAACACTCCACTGTAAAATATGGACAGATCTTAAAAAATAACATTAATAAACATATTGTGGCTCTGAATGACACACTGGACCAAAGACACTTAACTGACATATATAGAACCTTACATCCCAAAGAAGAAAAATACACTTTCTTTTCAAATGCTCATGGCAGTTTTTCAAAGATAGACCACATCACAGGACACAAAGCAAGCCTCAGCAATTTCAGGAAATTTGAAATAATACGAAACTTTTTCTTGGACCACAGGGCTTGAAGCTGGAAATCAACCTCCAAGAGAAACTTCAAAAACTTGCAAACTCATGGAGACTGAACAGTAGACTATTGAACAATGAATGGGTCTATAATGAGATAAGAAAAGAAATCAAAACATTTCTGGAAACAAATGAAAATGAACAAACAATAGTCCAAAACCTATGGGACACAGCAAAGGCAGTCCTGAGAGGGAAGTTCATAGCAATATAGGCCTACCTAAAAAAGATAGAAACATTTCAAATAAAAGACCTAACACTACAACTTCAAGAACTGGAGAATCGAGAACAAATAAATCCCAGAGCAAGTAGAAGGAAGGAAATAGTCAAGATTGGAGCAGAACTGAATGACATAGAGACAAAAAGAACAATTCAGAGGATCAACCAACCCAGAAGCTGGTACTTTGAAAAGATAAATAAAATTGACAAGCCTTTAGCAGACTCATGAATAAAAAAAGGGAGAGGACCCAAATAAATAATATCAGAAATGAAAGAGGAGAAACGACAAGTGATACCACAGAAATACAAAGGATTGTCAGAAACTACTATGAACAATTATATGCCAAGAAATTTGAAAATCTTGATGAAATGGACAAATTTTCAGAAAAGTTTAATCTTCCAACACTGAAGGAGGAAGAAACAGAAAGCTTGAATAGACCCATAACAGCTGGGGAAATTGAAGCAGTAATCAAGAAACTCCCGGCACACAAAAGCCCAGGGCCAGACGGTTTCACAGGAGAATTTTACAAAACATTTAAGGAAGAGCTAACCCCTGTCCTTCTCAGACTATTCCAAAAAATCCAAGAGGAGGGAAGACTCCCAGACTCCTTCT